TGCTCACTTATTTTTTGCTTCCAGTATAATTCCGACTCTTTTCTCTCATAAAGTTATGTCAGCAGTGACTCAGCTGAAGTGATCAGAAGAACTGGGTTATTTGTGTTTATCTCTGTGCAGCTCTAACGCATTATTTTCTAAGGCTCTTTCTTTAAAAACAACATGGAAATAGTGAAGCCATGCCCCAAATGATTGACTCCCCTATTTTAAGATAAATTTGTTCTTTGTATGCATCTGTGGTGAAAGCAAGAGAACAGCATTCCTCATACACTCCTCTAATTACACTATGCATTTACACAGACCAAAATCATGATGATGGCCAAAACTAGCTTTTATAGGCTGGAAACAATTGCTTTCAATCATATGAATAGTAAATGAACACAAATGCAAAATTATAGTGGTATTCAATTTCAACCCATATAGAATCAAGACAAGGACTGGTAATATCAGCTTATTCAACTGCCTAGGTAATACTGAAATTAAATTGAGTCCTTTAAAAATCAGAAGCCCAAATAATAACATTTTAAATCTCAAGTCCAGCAGCACTAATAGCAGAAAATTGATGTCCTATACTAAGAGGAACTGCATGCTACAGCGGGCTCCCAGGCTAAAGGAAATTTGTGTCCTGAGGCTAGAAAAAAGAAACAGACACCTTTCCAACTTACTGACCACAGGCATTATTGATTCTGATAACATCTGTTATTGGGTGGAGACGCGTGCTGTGAGTTCACGTTTCTGTGGAGCGGGTGATCGCAAATGATCAAACATCACTATGTTTTTGGCTCAGTTATACCTGCTCTTTTGGGGGCTACGCCGCAGTGCTCACTGATGCTTATTTTCTCAGCCTAAGGTGTTTCTTGTCTGAATTTTGGATCTTAGCACAGAGGCACCCACTGAGCAAGTATTTCTATGACTTCTGATGAGCGTTGATTGCCTGGATGCATAGATATGCCTCCCCCTTGCCCACAGTTTCCGTAGTTTATATAGACCTAAATGTTATTCTCCAAAAGAAAAAAAATTACTCTGACCCACAGATCTGCTTGCAAGGCAGTTCAGTTGTATTTCAAGCACTGCACCACTCTGAAGCTCCATACAGACCCACACGCACCTGCCTCGACGTGGGGGCTTCTCGTGCCACCGCGCCTCTTTCCTCGCCCTGCTGACTCGCTGCCGCTGAGCGGCAAGACTTGCCCAGACCAAGACCAAGCTCTGCGTATGGCTCTGGTCCCCCACTGCACCTTGGAACTCTGGTGAAACGCCAATATAAAAATGGGTACGTAAACATAAATATGCGAGAACTTATGAGGGTGGCAAGGCTTTCTCTAGCTGACGAAAAAGACTCACCAAATACACGTGTGATATTCCAGGGAGAAAGCGTACATCAGGGCAAACCCGTCAAAGGGCAAGAGAGCCTGGCATTTAGCGCAACCCGCCCCACAGGTTTCTTCCTCCCCCCATCGCTGTAGGGTGACCGAAATGCTGAGCACCACCTGCCACCCAGCGACTCCTACCACGGCCGCAGACACGGAGGCTGCGGGGACTGCTCTCACCCAGGGGAGCTATCCGTGGGAGACATCATTCTTCAAGAACATCACAGAACATTTGCTTCATGCAGAGATAGAGAGTTTCCTGGAAATTAAATATTTTATTTTTTCATAAATCTAGTTTATCATTAAAAGTCTGTAAGATCAGCGTGGTGCCAAGTTAATACATAACGGTAAAAATTATTACAAAAGTTTTTCATATCACAGACCCCTCACACTTACAGAGAACCGTGCTACTCCCTCTCCTTGGAACAGGATTAGTGCATCTGCTTTTTACTGGGGGGAAACGGGCATGTAAGCTCAAGAGGGATTTTTTTATAGGATCCTATACAGGAGAAGGCTGCAAGAAGTTTTAAATTCCCCAAATATCCTCATATCTCTATTTCTGATTTTATTTTATAAAATATAAACTGAATTATATTAAAATGAGCGTGTAAAAATTATCACAGCATTCTGAATACTTAAAATTCTTCCTTGCCCACAGGAACTGGTGATTTGCATTCAGTTTCCAAACTAATTTTTCACTTATTACAGGTATCACACCTGCGATGCAGGAAATCTGTAAGATACTGGAAATTCTACCTGCCAGTAACTGCTGGCATATGTCACTAATATCCTCCTTTTTTTCCTAATTTACTAATTATTACTAACTTACTAAGCTTACTGATTAAGTTGCCAGAAAGTAACACAGCTGAACTGTAAAGCTGCAAAAGTAATCATTTTTAAAAGCCTCTTTATGAATAAATATTCAGTCAATTAGAACATTATTGATCAAACAAATTTCACTCACACTGCAATTAGAAATACAGTATTATACAAGGTGGTACTGTAATAGCTTATCTCCAGTATAAGCAATTAGCAGTTCATAATTAAGCACACAAATGTTTAGTCTTATAGATAACAATATGCATGCAGATTTAAGATGGATATAATCTACTCTTGTTTCCTAATTCATTCACAGTATGGGAACATTGCCTTACATAAACTTTAGACAAGGAAAACATGGGAAGTGCATTAATTACCATGTTTCTTTATAAATCTTATATAAAACAAGAAAAATGCAACTGCCCCTAGGGTCCACAGATTATGTTCTTCCAAAGATTTATTTTTTTTGGAGAACAATAAGTCATCTTTAATACATGTCAACACATTGATGTTTTTAACTCAAAGGCAGACAGCTTTGTAAAATATATTCTACACTTGGGACTATCTGTACATTAGATTTCCTTTTCTTGATGCTTTCCCAATCATTAACTTATACGGCAATATAGAAATGTCATTTTGTTTTTGACAGCAGAGAGCTGCCTTTGACCAACTGACCATTTTTCTCCTGTAAGTTAAATCCAACTTCAACATCTTGTCTGCTGTGTATTTCAACAGAAGAGATCACAGGTAGTCATACTGCAGCAGTAGTATGTACAGAATGAATGTTTTTTTAAAACGTTTCTGCAAAGGATTTAACTGGTATGTTCTCAGTTAAATTCAAGGGCTCTTTCCATCCATGTCTATCAAAATTCTGGTTCATTCACTAGCATTTATGAAAATCTTCATGCCTTTTTATCAGGTCACTATACCCGTATTTTTCTATGAACTTAGACAACGCCAGCACAACTTGAAAGCCGTACCTATTCCAACGTCGTACGACAAATCGTGCTTCCTCACCTACTCCATAATGCACTGAACTTAGGAAGTTCAGGAAGCTTTTTTCATCAACCTCATATTGACAAAGATAATCTAAAATGAATGCCTTAAAGTCCTCTTCACTACTCGCACAATAAAAAGAAATTTCATGAAAATGCTTTATAGAAATCTTTGCAAAGTACATAGTCAAGTCTCTATAGTGAAGGCTATTAATAGAGAAAAATGTTCAGGTGAATCTCAAGTTTATTTTACATATATTGGGCATTTTCAAGCTTTCTGTTTTTTAAAAGCTACTATACATTCTGTAGGAGAAAACACCCAGTTTACTGTGAATGATTGACAATAGGATGACTGCTCAGACACTCAAAACACGGTATTTGATAGCCTATCATACGCTCATTTGAAAGGAAAGCAACAGTTATCACGGCCTGACGTTTATCATTGCAAAGCTGAGCCAGTTATCTAAATGGTATAGCTTCTCAATACTACAATATTCTATCATGTCTAACACAATTCATGCAGAGCTTGCTAATGCAGTTGTAAATCAAAAGTCTTGTGACTGCTGCTGCCTAGAATGCCTGAGCATCTGAATTCAGGGAGGATCTTGTCTGGAAGAACGTATCTGGCATGTAATTCTTTTCAGCACCAATGAAGAATGACTTTTCCCCTTCTCGATTCTCCTCAAAAGATGCTTACTTTTGAGGATGCAGAATAACTTCTGTGGGTCAAACGAGAACCCTGTGGGAAGTCCCACCAACAGCCTGTCCCGTAGCAGCGCTTAACTGTGCTTCGTACCTTTATTTCAGTACTCTCCTTTCCTAACAAAGTCTAAAAGACTCCTACCTTCTCATTTCTGTGAGCCAGTTTGCTCCACCTACTTCAAGCTCCCTATAAGCTTCATAGAATCAGTACAGATAACAACTTCTTCTAACTGTACTTTCCTGGAAGTCATTCATCTGAATGATTCTAATGACTGCTCAACAGGAACAATGATTACTGAGATAATTTTTCACATGATGATTTCATTTGAACACCTAAAACCATAACTGTATACTTTCCACAAATTTCTAGCTTACTGTTTTTTGCTACGTTACACTTCAAATACCAAAAGATGATGGAAAATGCACCACTAACATAATTAGTATATAAAATTTATAAAATTTGGCCTTAAGTATACAAAATACAGTTTCAAAAATAACCCTAAGACTTTAAATCAGTCAGACTTCTATAGCAAGTTAGGGATGCAGTAGTATTTCCTAGGTGTATATATATGTATCATATTCAGGATGCTGGTACATGTCATGCTAAGAAAACAGTACTTTTTCCAGTAAACAACCACATCATACAGCACTGTGGCCACATTCTTTGAGTATATTTTATAAGCTCACCCAAACAATCTACTTCATTCTTAGTCAAATATTATTGCGTGTCTAGTAGATAACTTTCAACTGGCAACATTACAGATGTAAGGTCTTCTGCAAAGACTTAATGCCATTGACCATGCCATCTTACTGATCACATAAGTCAGAAGGATCATATATGGATAGTATATGAACCGAGTTACATCCTGCATGTCACTGCTATCATAAAAATTGAAAACTTATATAGAGGAATCTGAGTTTTGAACTAATTTTTAAGACACAATTTCAGAGGACACCTCTAAATAGCATCAGAAAAAAATAACTTTGTCTTGAACAAAGTAATGCGATCTGTATCCACCAAGAGTTTAACAAAGAACACCAAGAACAAAACTCATGCTCAGAAGGCTCTCCCTGCGTTCCAAATTCAATAAAAGCCATCAGGAGTAGATCTTACCTGGAAAAGGTGAGGTCAAAACTGGAATTTTGATTGGTGACAAGGTCAGCACATGGTATGGTTGGACACTTGTAGATGAAGGTCCCTGAGGTCTTTCAGAATCTACTGACACCATGGTGGTGGTGGTGGCTGCTGCTGCAGCAGCTGCTAACGCAATGGTTTGATTACCGCCAACTGGCTTAAGGCTATTCTGGCAACCACCTATGGAAGACAGACATGCAATATATTTTATTTTTAATTGAAAATGAATGGGTTTACATAATATTTTTTCAGCATTCTGAATTTCAAAACAAAATGAAACAAAATTATTCACTATTTTTCACACGGCCTCCATCGCATGCAATGTTCACCTTAATGAGACACTAGTTTTTTTAAATATTTTCAAAGGACTAAAAAGCCATGTAGAACTCAAAGTCAAAAGCATGTGTAATAGCACAGTTTAAGAAGAATTTTTATGCAATAGCTTGTCCAAGCTCTATGGCTGAGTCACTGATTTGGTGCAACAGTTTTCTTGCAATAGTTCATCCCCCAGAGTCTCACCCCTTTCATAATTCTTATTCTAAAAATCCTAGTTTGTAGTTGGTACGTCTTTAGAGATTAAAACGTCCATATATTTTAACTTACCATTGTAACCTCGAGGGACAAAACAAAAAACCGGTATGTAAGTCATATATAAACTCTGTAGAGTTACCACATTTTGTAGAGTCACCACATTTAAATGAAAAATATACATAAAAAAGACAAATATTTGAATATATTGGTAGGTGTTTTCAGTTCCATGGCTTCCTAACCTTGCATGAACAACGTTTTTTTTTGTTTTTACCTAAATATAAGTTGTCTGATTTCAAATCAGACTTTTTTTGTTATATTAACTGTCTATTGTTAGTGTTATATATTGGACTGCTTTCTTGAGGCAATAAGCATGCAAATATCAGAGTTTTGAAGGTTGCTAGTACATACAACTTTTCTCTTGAAAGGATCTTACGTAGGAAATTTCTAATGATTTTAAATGAAAACTGGTAAGAAGTCTAGCACATGCAGGCTCGAGCACACTTTTCACTATGTAACATTCACCTTTAAGTGTAACAAGCTTAGGGGAAGACCTTTAGAGCTCAATCACGGCTAAGTACGTTAAATAAACAAGAAAATGAATAGCAAAAATCTTAAGAAGAAAACCTAATTTGACAAACACCAGCTGTTACTCTCTCTCTACACTGAGCTATGTATTCAAAAATTAAGCAATCATTAGCTTATTATGTCATTTAGCAAATGTTTTCAGTGCATGTGGAAATCCTTCAGGCAATAAGAGCCAACTGGTAGTTCTGCAAAAATCACTGTTTGATCAGAGTCATCACTTTAGGCATTTCATAAGTTTATGGAATTTCTTTTCCTAAGTGTATTTCCCTTTTTTTTTTTTTTTTAATATAGCCAGCAAAGGGACAGGTAAGGCCAGATCAGGACCCTCGTATGTAACTGTGCACTGGCATCGTGTATCTCCAGCAGTGGAAAACAGGCTGCAGCGCGATTTCCCTGGCAAGGGGAACTCCTGCCTGGCAGCTGGAGGCCATGGTGGCTGTGGAGCAGAGGGCCAGAACGAACTGGGAAGGCCAGCGGCTCGTGCGCGCTGCAAACCGACTGCTAAAGCCTCTCCCTGGGGCCCCGGGCAGCCAGGGAAACAAAGCACGCCCTGCAGGCCCCACTCTCCACCCCACGGATATTTTCCAGGATTTCATCCAACGCCTCTTCCTTTGGTAAACACATCAGCCCCAGACTGGGATTCTCAAGGCAAAGGAGGGAAGAGCAGCGGGATTTCCCATGTCCTGGGTGCGTGAGCCAGTCACTGCGCGACCAGGAGGCGCGCGAGGGCAGCGGGAGAACAGATGAATCAGCCTTTTAGAGAGGTTTGAGAAGTCTGACGGCCAGAGCTTTCAGCTGAGTGACGTAGCCAGGCTGCAACATTTCTGCTACGGTTAATACAGACAGCTGTGCCCTGCACGTCCCACGAAGCCCTCCTGAGCAGGCTGGCTGCTGTGGATCATCTTCCAAGGCATGCAACTCCCCACGCAGAGAAGAGGAGTCCAAATGTCTAATTCGGGCTTTTAGATTCTTCTCTGGATTCAGACATCTAAAGAGTTTTGCATTGCAGATGCCAACTGCTGCTACTGTTCTCAATTACTACGGGGAAAAAAACTGGGTCAGTGGTTTTTGGAAAGGAATCTGCTTTGCTTATAGCTATGAAGGAGATTGGGACTCTTGAGGTTATCTATACTGTCCAACTTTTGGCTGCTTTGCTTCTAACTCCCTATAAACAATTATTCCAACAAAATAAGCTCTCTGCATCAGCAAAATAGAAGTCAGATGTTTTCAATAAGCATCACAAAAAACTTCTATTATTTCCACCGTATTTGTCAATTCCAAACATAATTCCTTTGAAACACCTGCCTATGTATTAATACAACAGATACACAGGCCATAAAAACTCCTCACTAACAAATACTGCTACAGCTTTGGTCATTCAGCCACGGATAGACAAAAATAGATTATCCTACCACAGTTACAATGGAAATATTAGAAAAACAAATCAGTGTCCAACTAATTCAACTGTTTGGTACATTTTGTTGTTTATTTACTTGAGGAATAATACAGATCATTAGGTTAAACTAAACATCTGGCTTCCAAAAGACTGTATGCATTTCTAATTCCAGGAGTTGTCCGTACTTTAAAAAAAAAAAAAAAAAAAAATCAACAAAATGTCTTCCGTAACTCTTATGAAAACTAATACTGTATGGAAAAGTCACTTTCCCACTAGCTTCCATCAGTGATTCGTAAGCAGAAAGGTTGTTTATTGCTTGTTTGATTCTTTTATTTTGGGGAAGAAAATGCAATTCCCCAAAGAGTCTAGGAAAGCAGCAAAATAATATTAGCCTTAAATGCATGGCTAGCCCAAGTCTTCTGTGAGCATATATGAGTATAACTATTGAAGCAGTAGGAGTTAGCAGGGGTTCCTTATTAAAGTTGCATCAATTTCCTTATTAAAGTTTCATCAATCAGCTGAAAGAGGAGTTGTGGTGATTTCCCTGCCTTTGATGAAGTTCACTCTCTTCCTCCCACTCCCTCTTGCTAAATAATTCCATGAAGAAAAGACTATGCCTATAATTGTTAATACTTGGGAACCTACAGCTGGAAGGGTGTTTTAGGGTCAAGTCCAGTCCCTTGCTTTGCCGTCAACTGAACAATTCCTATCATCAGTTTATCAAGCTCTAACATAAAATGAGATATGATTTGCCAAAGCAACTCTGCTGGAAGCTAGCCCAGAAACCCAACTTTTCTATACTTAGGGATTTTCTCTTGCATTCAGCTTAGCTGGAGAGAAGAAGTTCTCAGACACAAATCCAATTTTGCAAGGCTATAAGCATTTCCAAATACTGACCCACCACTTATCCAAATGTTAAAGAGTCAAATACCTTGAAACTAGTAGTAAAATACTATCACCACTATATCCTTGAGGGGGGAAAAATTGCTAGTCTTTACCTAACAACGGTTGTTTCTCCAAATTTGTTTTTGCCTAGACATGTTACATCACAGGTAATAACTGTCTGCTGAAATAACAAACCTCATTTTAATACTCTTCCCCAGACTTCCGGCTCTGCTCTTCATAAGCAGTCAGATTAGGGGAAAATATCTGAGGTGGTCAGCACATTTTTATGTGAAGTAATTGAAGAGCAAAAAATAGCTGAAGAAGCAATGAAGAGACAATTCAGGGATAATTAATCAAAGATGATGAAATGAAGTAAATGAAGACAATGAAACAATGCAGCAAACCCATTACAATGGATGACGTGATCACAAATATCTACCTGGTAACAGCCTTGTAAAAAAGTGTCTATATGCACAGAAGGAGAAAAGTAGCCGTTTCTGCTGTACCTTCTTTTTCATTCCAACCTAGCACCATCTACATAATTTTGTGAACTGTACCTTATTCCTTGTTTTTGACCTAGAAGACCTGTTTTCACCTGGCAGGTCTGTGCTTGCAGATTACATCATGTACCTTGAACTCCCAGGTACAACTCCTGCAATAGTATCGAACGGTTTGGACCACGTTACGGCACCTCACCAGCATGTGGCTGGCCAGAACAGCTTAGTTTTCAGTAGCTGCAGCTCATCTCTGCCTATGTTCTTCAGAAAGCTGGTGAGACCCTCCAGCTCTTCCATCACCACTCCTTTCCTGCAGGCTTTTCACACATAAGTATGCCAACCTGATGGCAGACGGATGCGTGCCACGTGACGCACGTGAAGTCACACAGCGCGACGTACTGTCCTCGGGCGCCAGGCTCCGCAGCCTGCCAGGTGACTGGAAACAGGCCGGTCCCACTGAGAACCATCAGACTCAGCACACTATGCAGTACGGAGTGTGCTCAGCTTCCTTGTCAAAATCCACCAAAACCCAGTTTCTCTCTTCTGCACTAATACCCTCTTTAAATTCATGTAAGATTTCTTTAACTAGGTAGAAGTCTGACTTTTGGCTATTAATATTGTGTAACACATAGGAATTCCTATATTTTCCTCCTTGAAGAAAATACAAAAGAACAGAAATTACCTTCTTTAACAAAATAAAAGACTACCAACACTTGTAAAATTTGAAGAGTCATTCTTACTCAAAAAGGTTAGTTTGAGCCCTTCTCTTTCAGTGAAAAAAAGCAGCTGTATTGTGAAAATTTAGAGCACAGCTAAAATAATAAATTTAAAATTGCACTGGATAATGATAGTCCTTCAGTCTTTTTCTTCAGTTTTGCCTACAGGAAAACTGTAAACAGATTTTACAAAATATTCCTATCATTCCCAAAAGACCTAATAAAAAATTAAAAGAGCAAAACAAGTCAAGCAGGTTAAAGGCTTTTTGATTTTGTTGGTTGTTTTGGAGGAAGGAAGAATTAACACACCTTGTGCATGGTCTTTGCAACTTCTTTTAAAGATCAAATGAAATGTTGGCTTTTACTTATACTTTCAGCACATTATCTATTGTAAATGCCCAACAAAGGCACTGTAAGAGCTCTATTGCACTAGGAGGTGTCCTCTGTTTGGCGAGGACAAAAGCACTAACTCAAGACATTGACTTTGCTGCCTTTTCTTTTCACTTGAAATAGCTGCAAGGCGCAAGCAAGTATAGCACAACTGGTTCCCACTTCAGTGTACTGATCTGT